TGTAAAGATAATGTCTAAAGTTAAGCAGGACCTTTGTGGAGTAACATTAAAATCAGTGGGAAACAACGAGAAAAGCTGAATTTTTTCCTCTACATGAGTGTATCCTCAAATAATTAGAATTATGGGACTCATCTTCACCAAAACATGAACCTAAAAGCTCAAGTCATGTTCTTAAATAGTCTTGTCACATCAAGACTTTCATATGGAAATCATGCATCGCGCCAAACATATTCAGAAATATCTAAAATATCTGCTGCATACAACCAACTTCTCAGATCAATTTACAGACACCAATTATAAAGCCACAGGAAAAATATCAATTAATCCAAGAAAGACATCTCTTCTTCATCTGTGAGGAAATTATCCAGCATTCACTGCCGTGTTTTTTTTTTAATCATTTCACCCCAAGCAATGCAATAAAGCCACTAAGTTACAAGTGGTTAATGAAAGTGAAAGAAACTGAGAAAATGTTATTGAGGTGACAGTATAATGAAAAGAATAGGAATTAAGTAGACAGAAGATGAAGAAGGAAATTACTTGAAAAGTAATTGAAACTCACCTGAAAGCAAGCTGATTGTATAATGCTCCTCATGCCAGTGACACTTCCACTGAGCTTCTCTATGGAATATGATTTCATTGAATTTACATTTAAATTTTCAGGTCATCAGGAGAGAATGTGCATAGTTTTAAGCCTTCCTGTTGAATTTTCATTTAAATTAATTATGGGGTCATCAAGAGAGAATGTGCACCATATTGGGGCCTTCCATTAAACCATTCACCGGCCCATCTCACTGATGTGAGCCCCATTATCATACTTATTATAAAACCCAGGTTGTGTGTGTGTGTGTCTGTACGTTTATATATTGGATCGGATTTCCTACATTTTTCAACCGATTTCAACAAAACTTCACAGGACTATGTAAAATTACCTTGCGGTGGTTCTGACAGTGCCAAAAATGGGAAAAACACAATTGTTTTTGCACGAAATCAATTTGAAAACACGATTAAGAGGCATCGCTTTCACGGAATGAAAGGGGGACAACTCATATCAAGTTATACTTATTATAAAACCCAGGTTGTGTGTGTGTGTGTGTGTGTGTGTGTGTGTGTGTTCCTTTATATATGGGATTTCCTACATTTTTCAACTGATTTCAACAAAACTTCACTTTTTTTTGGCAGGTAGTGTTTCTTATTCTCTTGCACACTTTTTTCTTTATTTTTACATTTAGAATGCTTTAAAAATTCCATTTACAAGACAATTTTTTATAATAAAATTCTATTCAATTGGTAGACTCATAACAATTGAAAACAATGTTTTTGTTTGAGTTTGGGTTTGACCAATTTGTAAAAAAAAAAAAAAAACTAATTAAGACATGCGTGTCTGTCAACCTTAAACAATAATCTTTGTCAATTTTATTTTTCAGTCTTTATCATGGTCGATACTTGATCTATCTCTTACTGTTACATCCCCAGGCAACGCCGGGCTCTACTGCTAGTAATAATATACAAATATAACTAGAGTATCATAGATATACTAGTTCAAATATCCGAGAGCAAAATTAGATTTACAAAAAAACCCTGGTAAACCTTGAGAATACAATGTGAATCTCATTATGCATTCATGATTGCATTTAAATTTTTGTAGCCTGTAGTTGACAGGAAATCAGGAAGTTCCATCAGCAAAACGGGCAAAAGAAGAAACTATGAGAATAGGTTACGTTTAGCAAGTACACCTGTAAAATTATGAAACCTAGTTGCCAATCTAGTACTATGCTTAAATTCAGTGAAATTGAGGTACTAAAGAGTAAAACTAATCAGAAAAGTTGCCATGAAAATATTTATAGGAAAGGTACAGGGAAATTATGTAAGCCAAGATGGTTGGTCAAGATCAATATTATTGCAGATTCTTCTTTTAATTTTGTCTAGAATCTCAAGATATATAGCAGAAACACCAGACCATGCTACAAGAGTATTAAATGCACATGATATATAAATAATATAGAAAAAAAAATCAATGTGCTTGATTCTGTCATTTAAAATGTCAAAGAAGATATGTACATCACCAATTTTCTAGCAACTTGTGCACTGACACCTCTTTGAATCTGACAAAAATTATGAGGAAGTATTTAAATTTTATGAGATTGTATCATTATATTCTCATATAATTTATATTTACTGCAAAAACTCCTAGACAAGGCAGGAAAAAAAGAAAGAACTAACCATTAACTATGTATGGTCATCAGCAAGAGAAACAGCCAAAGGTGTGAAAATTGAATTGAAGACACCTGAATCAAGCAGGTACAGAAATTTAACTATTTGGAAAGTGTTCTAACAGATGACAGAGAATATGACACAAAAATCTAAAGGTAAATCAGAATAACGAAAGACACCTGAGTAAAGTATAAGACATTGGAACATTTCACTAGAAACAAAGAAAAGAGTACTGAATTGGCAGAGATGTAGTTCTACCAACAGAGGCTGAAAATACCAAGGAAGTTTTAAAGAAAGTAGAAACTTAAAATTATAAAGAAACTGTTGAAATTTCTGACACACTTTTTAAGGAAAGAGGGTCTGGAAAATTTGACCCTTATGGGATACACTGAAGGCAGGAAGGGCAGAGAGAAACAGCATGTAACCTACTTAATAAGCTTGAATGGCATCAAAAGTTTATTAGAACGACAAGAGATAGAAAGTTGTGAAAAGTTATAACTCATATACTGAAGGAACACAGCATATGAAATAAGAAGATGAGTATAATATAAGTTTCTAACTGTAAGAGATGTATAATGAGTGGGTTAGAGGTGTTATTGAATTGTGATTACATAAGTCTTGTTAGTCCAACAAAACAGTTGGTTTTAGAACCAAGGGTGCTATAAAATTGGTGGTGTACCTGCAATTAAATACATGAGATATCCCTCTTGGAAAGCAAAAGAAATATACACCATACTTATAGCAGTTTTTTAAAGGATTTTTTTTTATCCAAGGTTATTTCTTATGAATATAAACATTATTTTTAGTGGGTACACTTGTTTAAGTTGTTACTCCCTGTTTTTTTTTATTTTATTAAACTGTAAAATTAATAACAACTAACCTAATTTTTCTTTAGTATGACTCCACAATTTCAGCTGGTTATTAACTTCACTGTTTAATCTGTCTGTCTCTATATAAAATTATGTGATTTCTCTTAGTCCATCCATCACACCCTCTAAATTTTGGAGAGAGGTGCAAACAGGTAAGGGAACAAAGTACAGTTGGTTTTACTAGGGTGCATATCTTAGTACAATAAATTTTCATTCATTTTTTGGTGAAAAAATTAAAAGTTTTACTATTTAATATGCAAAATAATCTATTTTAAAAACAATTTAATGATTAAAATAACAAATACTTATTTAATAAAAGTGCAATATTGTTTTTTCGCATATCTTTTCTTTAAGTTTTTATATATACAGGAATCCACTTTCCAATTCACCATATATTTGCAAGAACTATAAGCAAATTACAAGGCCAAACACTTAAAAAATTTGGAATGTCACTCCAGAAAGAAATATTTACATATGACCATTTCATGCTCAAGAGTAAGAAATCTTAAGAATTTATTCTTTCTTGTTAAAAGGGAAAAAAATAAATGTTATTAAAAAATATTGTTTACCATGAATTCCTATGAAATTAAATGAAAGAAATTTATTAAACTGCAAAATATGTTTTTTGTAAAAGTATTTTTTCAAACAATTCAGCTTATTCAGATTTCATTGATTGGCTTGCGAAATTAAACAAAACATAGAGTTTGTAAATCTTGACAAAATATGTTAGCCATGACTTCAACAATATGAAATAGTATGAGGATTTTAACATGCTGATGGGTGATGCAAAAAAATTCTAGTAAAATAAAAAATAGGGATGTTAACAACACAAATATATATACCCACTGAAAGTAACATTTATAGTAATAAAAAATACATATTACATAAACAATGATTTTTCATTCTGGGTTATTACAGGGCCATTTTAATTAACAATTAATGTACTCCTGTTGCTTCAGCAAAACAGATAAATTATTTTTTATCAGCAATTTATGAGTTTAACCATTACTTATGTTGCTTAATTTTTGCACAAGAATTAATATTGCAGTTAGTTAAATAGTTGCTTAAATTTCTTTTTGCTTGACTAATAAATAGAAAAGAACACATGGCCCACCGGATAAAGACATTGGTTAGATCCAGTGACTAGACCGAAAGAATTGTGAGTTCAATACCAGGCCACAGCAGTGGTGAACCAAACTTGGAGAGTTGAGTTAAAGGGAAATAACTGAGGCATCTGGGAGAGGCATGGCACATGGAACTAGAACAATCTACCCCGGTGGATGAAATATAGGGTTCATTTCAAAATTCCAATCACCAGAGGAAGTCCGGAGTGTAAAATGGCCAAAACATTGTGAATATGGCAATGAAGATGAAGATAATAGTCCAAATAATGTAAGTTATCATAATACCGTTTCTCATCTCAGAGATATAGACAGATAGAAAAGAAAGACTTTTAAATGTAGCTGACAGTATAAATTAATATATTTTGTTTATTTGTTCAGCAACATATCATCTGTTTAGGGGTTAATTATTTGCTCATAGCTGGGACCCTAACGAGCGTTAGGGTGGACCTAGGAATTAAGAGGTGATTCCAAGCTCCATGAAATCTCCAAAATCCCAATCATAGGCCTTGCTGCCAGATGTAGTTTATTGTCAACCCAGGACATTTGTATTTAGTAATTTTCTTTTTTTTTAATTTTGCATTTTTTTTTTTTTTTTTTTGCTTGAATTTTTATTTTTTGGGTTGCTTAAGCTATATTGATGTCAGTTATGGAATTGCTTTAGTCAAATTTGAGTACAGTTACTTATAAAAAAAATCATATAATCTGGCATGGAAAATTGATGTACATGTAAGACACATGACAAGCAGGATTCATGGGTGGAGAGCAGAAAATGTGGCTCTGAGGGAAAGGAAGATAATTAGAATAAAAGGAAGAAATGAGGACAAGATGATGAGAGAGACAGAAATGGAAATATGAAGAGAGGAATAAGGAGAGAGAAACAGGGAATAGAAGTAGGAAGAGAATAGGAAAATGAGAGGAGAAACAAGGAGAGATAAAAACAGAGAATAAAAGATTTTAAGAGTGACAACTGACATAGAAGACAGGTTCCTCAAATTAAAAGATGCTGGAAAGTTCTCAGCTTGACCAAGAAGTGGTTCAAAAAATAATTCTGATGTTTGAACATTTGGTCTGTGGAAGCACTGTAGAGTAATCTTTAGCAATCTAGAGTAATCTGTATTCAGGAGTGGAAGAGTCAAGTCATTACATTCACTTATATACGAATAACCATGGGAAAAGTATAAATGCATCTCTTATCCCCAGCTATGGGTAAAATAAATTAACAGACTAGGTCTTACAGCCTGAATTCAAACTGGATTGCACTATCCCAAAAGTGTGTATACATGCAGCTGAAAGCTGCTTGTAAATCTAAATTCTCAGTGAAAAGCATATTATGGATTTGCATGTCTGAATGAATATTATTTCTGTTATGTTTGGTCAGCTTTTGTTTGATGGACCAAATGAATGCTGCAACAGGTAAATTTTTGTCAGATTTTGTTCAGCATGTACTTGTACATCTTTATAACTATAAGGTTGATTGAAAAGTTAACTAGCTTTTTCAAAGTTTATACAACCATTCTCTTAAATTGTGTATTTGACTATGAAAGAATAATTCCAGTTTCCATTTAAAGCAACTGTTCAAATGGAGCAACAATAAAATTTGTCAAGAAAAGAGTTTGGCAAGTGTTTTAGAGATGAGCCAGATTCGGTGTGTCATGACCCACATGTCTCCAGAATAATGCCAAAGTAAAACAATGGATGCTGAAAAGTTTTCAGTCTGACAAGAAGGGATTAAAAAAAAACAAAAAAAAAACAATTCTGATGGAAATTGGGTCAAGTTTTGGTGAAAAGGGTCACGTCAAAAACTTTTCAGGATTTCCACCTAAGTAATGTTAGACAAGGAAACTGTAAAAAATGAGAGTGAATAAAAAACAGTGGAAAACGAAAAAGTAATGGGAAGAAGAACAAAGAGGTAGAGAAAAAATAGAAAGATAAAGGAAAGAATTACAATGATAGAGAGAGAAAAGATAAGAAGGAAATGGAAAAAGAAAGAAAGAAAACAAAAACTAGAAAAGGGAATATAGGAGAGTAAGAAAAAGAAAATGAATAGAAGAAAAAGGTGAAGACAGGGATTTTATTTTATTTTGATTTGTTTTTTATGGTTTATCAACTCTTTGTGGCTCTTTGGAACATATTTTAGATTCTAAGAATAAATCTATTTGTGTTAACAATTTTTTTTTTGTGAATCATGAATTTTCCAGATACAAGTCCTACTATTTAACTCATAGTTAGGAGGAAATTCATATCTTACCCAAGGGTATCTGCACATAAGTCAATGTAAATAACCATGTTGGAATTTGAACTCATTTCTCAAATTTCTCATTCTGACCCACTATCCATTACATCACTCACATTCTGTGAAAACAGTGAAGAGAAATGGAGAAAATTGAAAAACAAAACAAAAATATAGAAAACAGAAAGAAAGAGTAGAAGAGAAACACAAGAGAAACATGATGAGATAAAATGGAGGAAGAAAGAAAGAAAAAAATTAAGAAAGTGTAGAATGAAGAGAAGAAAAGTCTCCTTAAAGAGAGTGAAGTAAAACAAAGATAAAGGAAGGAAGAATGAAATTAGCTGTTGAGTAGAAAATGAAAAGGAAAAGATAAAAGAAGAATTTGTGAAATCCTCATTGTAAGCAATGTCAATGCTAAAGACAATTATAGAAAAAGGAGGAAAAATGTAGAAAAAACACTGCTGAAAGGAGCTGAGGAAATGAATAGGAATAAAATGGGAAAAATGTTTTACGAAGGGAGATAAAGATTGTAAGAAAAAGAAAAAATGAAACCAGAAGCTGGAAAACAGAAAACAAAATTAAGTGCAAAAGGAAAGTGAAAGTAGGCAGAGTGGTCCAGTTAATCAAGTCTTTAATCAAGAGATTCCAAACATCAAACTTAATAGTCAAGGGCCCAACTCTCTCTCTCTTTCTACATACACACACACACACATATATATATATATATATATATATATATATATATATATATATATATATAGATAGATAGATAGATAGATAGATAGATAGATATACACACAAAATAAAAAATGCTGTAATAAATACAACTTAATGCTAACAATTCTCACATCATATCAGATCGATTGGTTGATTTGTTTTTTATGACTAATCAACACTTTCTAGGTTATTTAAAGCTGAAACATAGTTTGGATTATAGAAGGTTGCTCATGGTACCTGGTGTTCCCAAGCATCCTCATCTAAGTTCTCAGTATCAGAGGAAATTTTATATATATATATATATATATATATATATATATATATATATATATATATATATATATTTATATTTATATATATATATATATATATATATATATATACTTAGTATCATGCAACTTTTGAAGACCTAATTTTTGAGCTAATTTAACTACTGTAAATGGATAGATAGTTTAATCAATGGCAAGTACATACACTAATCTTAAATTTCATGTATATGCCCCCTCACCTTAAAATTAGCTTCAAAATTAGGTCTTCAAAAGTCACATGATATGCAAGTACATATGTTGTTTGTGCGTGTGTATGTGTATATATATATATATATATATATGGGTGTGATGGATAAAAATTTAAAAATAACACTGACATCTCATCTTAACAGATATATTTACCAAAATTACACAAAAATATCCTCTGCATGCTCTCCTTGTTTAAGTTGATGAATACAGCCATAATCCTTGGTTTCAGTTCATCTTTGGTGCTTTGAGGAGTTTTCTTGGTCTCTCCATCAACTGCACCCAACACACGATAATCAAGGGGAAGTCTGGGACGTTAGGTGGCCAGCTGTAAGGGATAATATGGTTGCAGAATTTATCTGAGAACCATGACTGTGTTCTCCTGCTTATGTGACATGGTGCAGAGTCCTGTTGCCAGATATAGTGTCTTTCACCCTCTTGACCTAGAGTCACACTACCTTCAAGGCATGTTGAGTTTGAGGCCCTCACCAACAAATTCGGGAGTTTTTTTCTTATCAGAATGATCAGAGTGACTTTTCCAAGCTGCAGTACCTTTATAATCACCATAAAACTCATTCAACAGCTTTCATTATTCCTTGTTCTTTGAATAATGAATGCCGCACAGAAAACATAGTTTACCAATGCACTATCTCATCCATTGTGAAAATCTATATCAGATGTGCAAAAAAAAATGAATTTAAATTAAGATGGAGACAACATTTGACTTCCTTCAGTAATATTAAGTATCATAACTGAACATCCATATCCAAATATTTTTGGCAATTAAGAGAAAGAAATAAAACACCAACAGTAAAAGGGAAACTAATAAAAAAAACAAGAACTTGTAGATTTTTGAATGACACATGTCCTTTATGCCAACATGAAAATTATATATTAAGTTTCTGAAAAATAAAAATTTATTAAATCAAATAAATGAAAGGTTTCTGTAGACAATGTCTTATATACTTCTTAAAAAATAATTAATTATAAAAAATAATTCATATATTTATATCTATTATTTGATCATAAATTAAATAATTTATAAATGCATAATTAAATTCTAATATATTGATTTTACTGTACCATATATAGTCTATTAGTAAATTAAATATAGTATTTTAGATATGTATAAATAAATATATAAATATAAAAAATATGACTTAATCATATTTGAATACCGCTTTAAAAAATCTCAATGTAGCTTTAAAAAAGAAAATAAATAAAAAAATATTGTCCTGAAGAAGGTTATTAAACCGAAACGTCAGACGTCAACATTTCATTCATATTAAAACAACATAATCGCATTTTAAGGATTTTTGTTTTGTTTTTCCAGATATTTTCTTCATTCTGTCGGATTTATATCCATTTATATTTGCTTATCATATACATATATATATATATATATATATATTTATATATATATATATATATATATATATATATACATTGACACATAAGTAATGGATACATGTTATTTTCTGTTATAACTCTAGGGTAATTTTGAACTTTGATAAAAAAAAAATGGATTCAACCATGAGTTTTAATTTTCCTTACATACAACTAAAACAACTTTACGAGATATTATTAGCAAATATCAGGCAAAATGGCAAACATAAACTAGAGTTATAACAGAAAATAACATGTATCCAATACTTATGCGTGTCACTGTATATATTATAATTATTTGCAAATACAGTTGGAAAAAATATGTATCTATCTCTTCACCCCCATTTATGGGTAAATAGCAGAGTAGACTGTGTACTATAGTCTTGGCAACCAGTATAGGAGAAAGACAAGTATGAATTCAAAACCTAAGGAGGGTCATTTGTGGGCCTTGTGGCACCCTGTGTACCTGTTGGCTGTATTCAGCTCTTCTTTAAAGTGGTTTTGCACAAGCCTCACCACCAAAATCAAATCATATGTGCGGGTAATCTGGATGTTCACTTCTAAGAACTGACCTGCTGGATTTTCATATGTCGATGTCAAAAAAATGACAGGAGTGTAGAATCAATGCAATACTCACCTTTGCAGGAAGCTTCCAAACTAATGTCCAGTTAGCAGACGGGTGAGCGAGCTTGCTATATATATACCAGCTGTTCTAACCTCTGGGACTGGAGAGCTTACAATACGGCTAAACACTAATCTGGTTATTCAATAAGGAGAGTCTTCGAAATATATGTGTGTAAAATTTCAGAATATATCTCTAAAACAGCAATATGAGTAAAGACCAAAGAAAAACTTATCTTAGCCAACACATTTTGTCCTCTGAGGGACTTTATCAACACAAATGCAAGGATTTTATTTTGTTAAAAGTATTTACAGACAAGAGCAATGATATTGTTAGTTTTTCAAAATTTTTAAACATAAGAAACACTGATAAATCAGGTCAGCTGAAATGTTTAGGTAAGTTATGAAGGACATTAAGTGATATAATTTAATGTCTAATAAACAAAAATAAGTAAAAGATGTTTTTGAAATTTCAACAAATGACGGTCTTCTGGATCAGTTCTTAGAACTGAACAGCCAGACTACCTGCACATATGATTTGATTATAGACATAAAGGATACTGCAGAACCAGTCACACTTTTCAAAAGAATTCAATACAGAGAATTGGTGCACATAGTATGTTACAAAGTCACCAAACTATCCTCTTCAGATTTTGAATTTAGACTTGTTCATAGGAATGTTTAACAAAGGGAGATAATGATGGCAAGAAATATAGGGAAAGTTGGAAAAGAGAAAACAAGATTAAGTGCAAAAGGAAAGTGAAAGTAAGCAGATTTGTCCAGTTGACTTATATCTCTTTAATCAAGAGATTCCAAACATTATACTTAACAATCAATGGCTCAACTCAATATGTTGATTTGTTGTTGATTTTGTTTAGTGACATATAAACCTCTATGGGTTATTTAAAGCCAAAATCTAAATATTTTGAACACAATTTTATGGCTTCAACTAAATATATTTTGAATGCAACTGTATGCCTTCAACTACAGATAAAATATAATTGTTGATAATTTTACTATAAATATGTATTGTTAGTAGTTGTTTTTTATATAAAAATGTATTGCTAGTGTTTTTACTATAAAAATATATGTTTATACTTTCATAACATTTTGTTTTTGTTTGTGGATTAACTGTTTACTCATAGTTGGAACCCTAACAGGTGCTACCATGCCAGGTCAGGGTGAACCTGAGAACAGCAGCAATTTGAGGTGGTTCCACACTCCTTAAAATCTCCAAACTCCTGATCAGAAGCCTTACTAATGGATGTAGTCAAACTCAATATGTGTGTGTGTGTGTGTGTGTGTGAATATATATATGGACTCTTTAATAATCAAAGCCAAGACCCACCTTTTTACACAAATTATCCATGATTTGTTGTTTGCTGATGATGCTGCCCTGGTTTTGACATCCTTTGAGAAGGCCCAACAGCTACTAAATTGTTTCTCAGCTGCATGTAAAGCCTTTGGTCTTACACTTAGCATAAAGAAAACTGAAGTAGTGCACCAACCTTGTCCTACTCCAAAGCAATTCCGTGGTGTCAAACAAAAACCACCAGTCTACAAATTTCCAGACAGACCATTGAAAGTAGAAGACAAAGCCCTGAACTATGTAAAATCTTTCACCTATCTTGGTAGCAAAGTCAACTAAAGTGGATCTTTAGATGATGAAATCATGCATCAGATTGCTACCATGCTTTCGGCAAACTTTGCTATTGCTTGTGGGATGCACTTTAGTGGACTCAGTGGTTTGCAATCTGCTAGTCTGAATTGTCTTCAAGAAGTGAGAGCAAGATCTAAAAGGTCAGCCAATCTAACAGTGACCTCATCCCACAAATCCTCACTCTTGCTCTATATGTGGTCTACTTTGAAAAACACTTGCGTGCCACTTAATATTATCACACAAAATTCATAACTGAATCAATTGGTTGTCAGATCCCCATACATCAAAACCGACGGGATAGTCCATTATATATATTATACACATATAACTTCCCAAACCATGTTGTTCATGCAGAAATAAGATTAGTTTTAAAGAAATTTAGAACCAGCTTGATGCAACCAGATGTATTCTAGTTATAAACAAGATGAAAAGGCTATTAAAATTATAAAAGTTATCAATCATAACAAATATTATCGATTATAAATAGTTAAAAATGTCTAATTCTTAGAAATTGTTCATCACCTCCAAAGTCTACCATATACATACATATATATATATATATATATATATATATATATATGTTTGAGTGAATTACAATTAATAAGATTCAAATAAATTACCTCATGCAGATGATCATTTCATCCATGGGAAAGTATTTTTTTTTTATGGACTTATCAATGCAAATACATTTACTAAAATGAATTATTCATTTTAGTAAATGTATTTAAATGATAAGTCCAGAAAAAACTACTTTCCCATGGACGAAATAATCAACTATGAGTAATTCGTTTGATCTCATTAATTGTAATTCACATATGCTCTATAATAAAAATTATAATGAGCTCTCTTTTTGTGGATCAGTTTTAATATTTTATATTAATAGGATCTACTTGGATTACTTACCCAAAAATTTTTAACCTATATATATATATATATATATATATATATATATATATATATATATATATATATATATATACACACACATATATATATATATATATAAGTTTAAGTTCAAATGCAGATCAAATATCGATTGGAATCTGACAGGATGCTAAAATAAAAGACCAAATAGAAATGTATATCAATCTAACAGGTTTCCCTTTTATTAAAGCTTCATCAGAGATTGAGAGAAAACAGACAAAATGACAGAAACTCTGGTATTTTCACTTTTGTTTGGTTCAGTTTTCATTCATCAGACATGTGTCAGGTGGATTAAAACAGTAGATAATTCTATATGCATATAAGTTTGCAAAGATTCTCATATGTCTAAGTGGGCACTGGATGATAATGTGTATTCCTAATTGTGTATGTGTTTCTCTCTAGTGGGAGTTCTAATGTCTTCACCTTTGTGTGGTCAGCTAGCACAGCAAAGTGTCACACCATTCTAATTTATGGCTGATCTTTTTAAGCTTGTATTCTTTGTATAAGATAGATATAAGTTAGATTCTTTAAGAATGGATTCCATGAAAGATGGTGATGTAATATAATGTTTTAGGCTTGGGCTTATAGTTGGTAATTATGTTATTTAGTTTTCAAGAATTATGTTCTTTTTAAATTAAAGTGGCATTAGTGAAACCAAAGTTATGTCCAGCATCATTTCAATGTAAGACAAGAGACAGTCACCTACAATTCCAGCCCACACATTAATCGTAAACTGATGCTGGTGTCTCACCTGTATTGTACTATGGGGATTTCAATTTGCCCAGAAATGTAGGTTGTGTAAATTTGTTATTCCATCTAATCCAAATGTTATCTCATCCGTAAACAAGACTGAAAAGACAAACTGCAGATCAGCAGTTTGTACAATAAACCATTGGCAAAAGCTCTTCTATAGTGAGTGATCAGATGGCAAAAGACTCCGCACATGTTTCAAATGATATGGATACAGGAGATGCTCTTGAAGTACTCTTCATGTGGTACTATGAGATGTACAGCATGCTAGGGCCACTTGACGTAAGCTGATATCTGGATCAGCAAATGTCTAGCAAGCATGTCACTGTATTAATTACAGCTGAATAGTGATTTTAATCCTCACTGGGTGCTCCATACTTTTGGCTTTGTGCCACATCTAAGCTATGTTTAGAAAATCACCAGATTAAATGATTAATAAAAGATCATGATAAGAGAATCTATCAACTGATTCAATGCCTTACTAGCAATGAAAATTGCTAGCTTGGTCAGAGATGAATTGTTATGTCTTGGCTGGTAAAGAAATTCAGTTATTTTAATGTTGATCATTTGTCCAAATACTTTTAAGGCTTCACTGATATCACTGAGGATATACAAGAGAAGTCATCAGTAAAAAGATTATGGAAATGTTGTAGATTATAGCTTTGGTTTTAGCATTAAAATGGTGATTATAGATATCTCTAGTTGTCCTTAATTTGATACCTACCTCTTCATAAATCTGTAAAAAAAAGCATAAAATAAAAAGTAAAAAAAAGAGAATGAGTAAGGTGATCAGAAAGTGAAAAAGAGTTTGTTTGATTCCAGACCTTACAAAAGCTTTCATTCCCTGATGAAAAGAGATTTCAAATCTTTTCTGGAACTTAGAACTTTTCAGCGTCAAATACTTTCATAAGGTTTAGTAATATATAGAGCACTTTCTTGTGCTTCCTCACATTGTCATTGTTTTAGGATAAAGATTGTGTCAATTTGGACCTCAACCAGATTGAAACCCATACTTTGTCCCATGTAGAAATAATTCTGAGAGAGAAATATTGAGCTGAGTAAAAATAATGTGAGGAAGAATCTTGTTGGCAACAGAGAGGACCAAGATTCCTCTATGATTGTCGCATTTACACTTATTGTTTGTAGAGGCGGAAGTGTAATTGAACTGGAATGAAAGCAGATGGAAATGTACTTGAACTATTTGAGAATAGATCACTTTTCCCAAACTAGATTCAGGAATTTGCATTTCAGCAATTTTTTTTTTTTTACTGTTGTTTACCTAAAAGAGATCAACTCAAAGTAGAGGGTTACTGAAGACTGTACAAGGTGGGAGTAAGAGGTTCATATGATGAGGATATGTAGGAGAGATAACAGCTGACCCTGAACTTGAAGAGGTTAATATTGTAGTGATCAAGGAAGCATCCTCTCAGAAGTCAGTTCTACAACATAACAGTCCAGGAGAAGAATATGAGTGGAACTTCCTCCTTAACAATAGTGAATGTGGATGAGTTGAGTGTGTACATGGCATGGTAAGTCCTAGCTGTAAAGGTCTGAACTTGTGGAACTAAGGATTGTAGCCCGTTATAACATTTGCCAAAAAACAGTGAAATAGTAGTGAGAGGTTGGCAAAACTTCATCTGTAGGAAAGCAGTTACAGAATGGAAAATAATCCATCACCCACAAGGCTGCGTAATTGCTTTTAAGCTCTGTCAAAGATGGAAATGCCATTCTTAACCTCTTGCTTTTATTATATAGAATTCTTTACCAAGCTCCCTAGATTTTTCTTGTAGTTGTTTTAGGCTGAAGATCATATCTACTGGACCTCTGCCAAATGAAAACTCATCCTTTCTCTCATGTAGAACTGATTCTGAGAGAGAGAAATACTGAAATGTTTGAGTAAAATGCAAGCAAGAATCTTGCCAGTGACAAAGGGAGTTTAGGTTCCTCTATTATTGTCACATACACATTTATTACCTAGTGTTCGTAGAGGTGAATGATGAACGCATACTTGTACAACTAAGGAACAGACACCATTTCTCAAACTAAATTCAAGAACTTGCAAAGCTCACTGATGAGAAAATTGCTACCACATTTGTAGATTTCAGCTGGAATACCATTATCGCCTGGTGCTTTATCATTTGACAGCTCTTTAAATGGTTTTCCTCATCTCAGAGATGGTAGGATCTGCTGAAAGGACTTTGAGGATGAGTTGCTGAGGAAGATTATTGATTAACTTGTGGTTGATGTTCAATTCCTTGTTCAAAACATACAAAAAGTGTTCTGCACAGTGTTTGATGATGTCATTTTTGTCAGTCAAAAGTGTTCTGTCTGTGGAATAGATTAGAGATGAAAATGGCCCGAAAACACTTTCCAAGTTCGGATAAAAGAATTTGAAGTCATAACGTTCATCAGCCTCTTACAAAGCTATTGCTTTCCTTTTCCATCAGTTCTCTTTCATCATTCTTAGCTTAACCTGTGTTTTGCTTTTGGCCAATTTAGATGATCTCTGCTAAGAAGTTCATATTTTGCCAGACATCCACGTCTTTTGCCATTTGTGCATGCCTTCTAGTCATGGCATAAAAAGATGGTCATTGGAATCAAAGTAATCTTAGATTTTATGCTGAACATTACCCAATATTTCTTTTGCAGATACATACACTGGATTCTTCAGGTTTTTCCATGATGATTCAATATCATTCTTAATATTAACAGAAGAGAATTTAAAAGCAGAAATGGTTAAGAAAAAAGAGCTAAGGGTTTTTTGTCCTTCAATTCATTGTCTTCAACAATTTTTATTAAACGCACTTTCTCATATACATTAATTATAGGCAGCACTCTAGGGGTCCTCAAGCTTGGTTATAATGTTGGTGATAATAAATCTGTTTTTTTTTTTACTACAGTTGTGCAGAAATATGTGCTACTTTGTTTTGTTTTTTTTCTTGTTTTTTTTTAGTAATGGTAAAACACTAACCTGGGAGAGACAACATTAAGGTTGCAAAGAAATATGTTCATCATGCATAGCAGCCAAGAAAGAATGACTTATAAGGGTGGGTGTGTTTACTTTACAGTTTCTAGCTTTATTATTGTTGTGGTAGGATCCACCTAATTTGCATAGTGGAGTACCGACCATATAAATATGGTTGGTACCGGGAAGAGGAAGGAATCAAGAGATTCAACCAGAGACTCTGCTGCCCGCGACTCAGTCAACACATTCTCCAGGAACGGTCTTACCAGGAATATACAAAAGACTATATGGAAATATTGTGTACACTTTCTTGTTTCAATACATTTTGTTCTAAGTAAATTTTGTGCTGCATTATTATTCCATGCATTAGTCAAGTTTCAACAATTATTTACACTATTTACATGTAGACTATTGTCTTCATCTCCATTGTTATTACAATGTTATGCCCTCATTTGATCATTTAAGAAAATACAAAGCAGAGATTAATATTAATATAAAAATGTTGAAATACCATGTTACAAAGTTGTGACTGTTGACATTAGTGGGGATTTTTTTTTTAATCAGTATCACCCCATGCAAGGCAGTAAAGCCACTAAGACACAGAAGGTTACAGGGAGTGGAAGAATTAGAAACACAAACATTAATAATGAGCAGGAAGAGGAAAGAGTCATCAGGAGGTCAGTAGATAGTGATTGACATTGCATTTAAATTTTTTGCAGATTAAAGTTGGTTGGAAAGCGTGGAGCCAAAAGCAAATTCCATAAGTGAGAAGTGCGAGAAAAGAAACTGTTAGCATAGAATATATGATTACATCTAGCCAGTTCAACTGTAAATTGATGAGATCTTGATGCCAATCTCATATTGCGCTTAAATTCAAAAAATCTAGATACCTTAGAGGAGTGTTCATCCAAACAATTACTATGAAAGTATTTATAGAAAAGACATAGAGAAGCAACCTTACAGTGGTGGCAAAGTGACTGAAGCCAAGCTGCCAGATCAGCTCCTGTAATATTGCTGATTCTGCTTTGGATTTTATCAAGGAGCTCAAGCTAATTAGCAAGGGCACCGGACCATATGTGGTTGCAATAAATAGCAAAATAATGGTATTTCTTAAAGAATGTTATTATTGACAAACAAAAGATAGCTATTCTAGTTTACTTAAAAATTTTCCAATAAGTTTATTTCAAGCTATTTAAATGTTGCTAAAATATATTACAAATAAAATATATTCAAGATGGGTGCAGGTCGGTTAAAGGGATGCTCTGTCTGTAATGTCATTAGTCCAGGGGTCTTAAAAGTTCATGATCTGGCCCTACATGCATAACAAATTTAGAATATGAGATAAGAAAATTGAATATAGGCTGTGCTAGGGGTAGTTTTGTTTAACATCACAAGATGCTACAAAACCAAAATTTTAACCTAGAAACTTGAGTCATCCTATAGTCTCATCCTATCTAGACTATCATTGTGGATGTCATATATGGCATCCAGCTCATTCAAAATTGTTTAAACTATTAGCTATCTATATATAGCTGTTTTCTCAGATCAATGATTAAAAATGGCTTCTAGGTTTTAAAGAAGACAATATTTCATCAGATCTTAATCTTACAGAGTGGTGTAACAGAATCACAAAGAGCTTTATCAAATAAAAAAAAAACATCTTGCTTGTAGACTTCCAACAGCAACAAAAATGGATAAAACAAAATGGATAACAGTCAATGGACCTGAGAAGCCTGTTTTCCTGAAAATCTGTTTTAAGAAAAATATTTTATAAATTTCAACTGACAGTAACACAAATTGTTTGGCCCATGAATGCTGAACATTACCTGTATGAAAAAGCTAATCTCACCATTACCATTATCATATTAACATAAAATAAAATGATTCTGTGACATGACCAATGCTCTCTGGCTGTGGGCAAATGGGTTATGTTAACTTTCTTTCCGTCATGACGACAAATGATTATATAATCAATCATATGGTAATGATCTGACCTCAGATGCCTCTAGGTGGTTTTAAGATGATTTGCCTGCTGAAAGATTGAATTTATCACAAGGAGATCAGAATCACTGAGACAACAGCATACACCTGTTAAAAATGACCTTGCTGGTGTCTTGTTTTTATCCAGTTTGTATCAGATAAAAACAATAAGTTATATTGCTTACATGATGTTTTGAAAAACAAAATTTACACAGTATTTAGAGCAAATGCTTGAGCATATTCACACAAAAATGCAAAGTGCTTGGAGTGAAAATAAGCTTATACTAGGGAAAATAAAATTAGAAATAAAAACACATTCCAGTTGCTAGTGGCTATTCCACTATGACTACTACTACTACTACATTCTTTAGGAAAAAGTTGAAGACAGCTAAGCAAAGATGATGAAAATATCAACTATACTGATAACAGTAGTTGTGACCAAGTAAATGGTTAAGAAATAACAAAACAAGAGGTTGCAGATAAATAGTATATTGAACAGTAAATACAACAGAAGTGTGTTACATGACTTGAAAGTGTGTATTGGTTGACCAGCGTTCAGGCTATATCACTTTTCCCCGTGAGGTTTACTTTTCCTACTACGTAAGTAGTAAGTGGAAGAGTCCATAATAGACTCATTAGAGAGAAGACACTACAACACAGATATAACTGTTATGATGTGTATCTTTGACACAGAGATTATTGAAACTGATTAAAATGTGCTTAATACCAATGTGATGAATTAAAAAACAAATGCAGTGTTTGGTTAGTGATGTAATCACTTTCTGACATATCCATTAGTTTAGACTATAGCTATAACTTACTTTCAGTCATTTAAGGATTATTAGTGATCAGAAACTATGTAAAGTAATCATTACTGACAAAATAGGGCTAATACAGTGGTGACAATACCATATTTAATGGCATCTAAGTTATATTATATGATCAAAGAAATAGGTCAAAAGATAGTTCTGAGTTTTATATCTGAAGTTGAGGTCTATCAGAGGTTAATCTTATCCCCAATGCTTACAATAGTAGGCTATAATTTTTACCTCCAATAGTCACTTTTTCTTAATACTATTATGAATTCAAATATTATTATTATTATTGATACTGTAAAAAGAATTAACAAATTACCAGTGATGTTTGTTGGTACCAGCTGATCTATATATGCATCAACATACTCTTACAATTAACCAGTTGGAAACTAGAGAAAAAAGTGACATAACTAAAAGGAAATACCAAAGTAATGGAAAAACACTAACCTGGGAGAAACTATATTAAGTATGGTCATCATGCAAAGTTGTCAAAGAAGAATGACTTATGAGGGTTGTGTGTGCTTAGATTGCAATTTCTTGCTTTATTATTTACATTATTTACATGCGGACTATTGTTCTCATCTCCATTGTTATTGCAATGTTATGCCCTCATTTGACTGTTTAAGGAAATAAAAAGCAGGGATTGACATTAATATAGAAATGTTGAAGCCCCATATCACAAATTATTAGGAAATGACTGTAAAATTCCTGTAAGATGAGTTTACAGGACATTTAATATCAGGTGCCACCACACATTTATTTAAAACATGGCCATTTTCACACGGGTCTATGTATGGAATCCATTTGTACATACATTAAGTTATCTGTAACTTAAAATGGCTTTATTTTTTCAGACAATTTCTAATTACTTCTACCCAACTTGACACAAATATCATTAAAACCTTTCAAACCAACAGATATGAATCCAACTTACTCTTTGAATAGACCATTCCACCATTCCAACCACCTTGTTAACCATCCATTCATCCATCTACTGTCATCAATCAATTCAAGTTCTTTGCTTCTGACCATGCAAAGTTAATGCTTCATTTTGTTTTTTGCCAATACAACATCAATGTTATATGATGACAGGCCATGTTTTTTGTTCATTTGTCATATCTAGTGACTTTTTGTTTGTTCATTTGTCATATTTAGCCATTTTTCTTTCATTTGGCAACAATGAATAAATAAATACTATATTTGCTGACCTATAACACATGCACTTTACTAAGGTATTTGATGGAAG